CCGCTAGTTTAGTTTTTGCTATAAGCACTCGCCTGGCCGCGAAAGTAAAGCTATTGACTTCAAATTTTCAAAAAAACATTGAAAGTTCTTATATACTGGTTGCTTTTTAAAAAGGTTAAAATCTATCGAAGGACAAATCTACAGTACTATATAAAGTGAGAAAACCTCTTTTTTTCAAACGGACTAAAAAAATTTTATATTGATCATTACTCATACACTATAATAGATAAATGTACAAAAATTTCAGATTTTTTATGGGCAATATTGGAGTGCCTTTACAAAAATTTAAAAAATTGAGCACGCCTATCCAATATTGTAGTGTATGTAAAACGACACGGTTCAGTAAAATTTGGAAATTATTTGTAAGTAACAAACATTGCACTCGGCCGTGGTAAGATATACAAATCGATAAAGTACATTAATGTAACTGTAATTAAATATAATTATATTCACAAAATAGTAGATGGAGTTTCTGTGATCAAAAATTGAATTAAAATGTTTTTTTTTTGAATTGCATTCATAAAATAATTGAATGAATAAAATATAAATCGTTCGATTGAGGATATCCTAAAACCTGGTGAAGTGCCTCGCATTGCTTTCCGATGCCAATTGATGTGATCTGGTGGTTCCTTGTGTTTTATAAATTCTTTCACATGTTTTCTTTCGGAATAAGCTAGTGCCTTGATACCTATATTTGCAGATATTTGCAATTATGTAGATAGAAACTCGCTGCTTTTAGTTATAATGTGGTTTTATTAGGCTTAAGCTTCAACAAAAGAAATTTTTAATAATATATTCTTAGTAAGTTTAAATTGCTACTTTTGGTAAGACGTTTGTTTAGTTGAATTTGAGTGTTAATTTCCAGTTTTAATTATTCGTTTTTGCTTAGGTTTAATTTGTGACTTCCAATAAATTGTTTTCACTTGAGGTTGCTTTTTAATGTGAAGTTTTCATGCTTTACTTCATTCTTGCCGTTTAATGTTTAAAATTTAAAAAAAAATGTATGCGAAATCGTTACATTCATTCAACTAACTTTTAAAAATTTATTTACTTAAGTTAACTTTCTGCAAGTTACTATGTGAGCTTCAGGATGAGATAGAAAAAGGAAATCGGAATCCCCTATGCGAATCTTTTTGTCAGGAGTAGAGACAAACCCGACCAACCGTGCGCTCGTATAGGCGTACGTGAAAATTTTTCAAGAGCTTGATGCTTTATCTGCTTCACGAAAGTTGGAACAGGTTAAAAGTCAGTAACGCCTGCGATCAAACAATATCTTCTTTTGTTTCTTGGTGTTAATGTGTTAAAAAACCTTTATCTGAATAATATATCTAAAAGTAAACGTGAAGTGAACTTCTTTTATTAATTGTTTGCCATATTTTATAAAGTCACATAGTTCATAAATCGTCACGAAGGATTTAAAATTAAGAAAGTTAAATTCAGTGCAGACCCAATCTTTTATATCTATCGCCATTATCCTACAAAAGACAAAAGAAACAAAATTTTAATGCTCTATAATATAATATTTCTTCCATTTTCAAAATAAAGCTTTTGTCATATAGGCATGTTGGCGCTCTAGGCGAAAAGTTTAGGTCAATTCCAAATTCTTTTGCAAATTTGTAGGCAATATCTTCACTTTCACTAATGGGCAAAGTTGCGCAAACAGGCAAATGGATCGACGCGCAAGCAGACATGTTTAAGTGTATTTCAAATTTGAAACTGACCAGGAATTGGTATATGTTATGGGATTTGTCTTGTTTCTGCGCGTAATAAAGGTATTGAAAGACACAACTAAAGCATGATACGCTATAATATTGAGTAGGCGCGGTCAATTTGTTCCGCTTTTGTGCACGAAGCATCGCCCATAGAATATTGCTTAAAATTTTGAACAGTTATTTGCTATAATTTATGAGTGACGAGCAAAAAACCAATTTTTCATTACGTTTGGAAAACAGAGATGTGTTCAGTTTACGTGATTGCCTTGAGCGTGTCCTTCGAACGATTTGGCCTCTTGTCAATAACAATCTGTATGCAAGAACTTCCAATGCGTCTGCCAAATTTGAATTCGATAGCTTCATGTTTGCGGCCAGGAGAATGTTTATAACAGACATTGCGCAGACGGGCAAACGGACAGACGGAAATGCGTAGATCTGTTTAAGATTTGATCGAGAATGTACACACTTTGTGAAGTATGTGGTGCTTCTCTCTGGACGTTGCAAACGTTTTGTTAAGACGAATGTACCCCTTATCCTTCAGTGATGGGTATAAAAAACTTATTTAAATACGTCGGTAGAAAGGAAAGAAAAACAATCGAAAATTGCACAAAAAAAGCAAATCGTAAAATTCACACACAGAAATATGTCAAAACATTCAAGTTTTTAAGCGACACGACTATAAAAGATATGTAGGCTGCATTATTTATTAAGACAGGAATTTCGCTTAAATTAAAAAAGGGAAAAGTGTCCATCCTCACAAAGAAGAATTTTGCAGAGATTATGATAAGCCCCTTTCGTGGTATAAGTTTCGTCAGTCCGTCTACTCATATAAGGATGAGTTCGTGCTATTCTTTTGGGCGCAATTGCATGTCCGTCAGACAAAAGTGCTCTGACTGAACAAAAATGTTTTGCTACAAATGTGACGGTATTAGATATAATCCAAGTTCTTTCTGGTGCAAGCCTGTCTGCATTGTTAAATGCCAAAAATAAACGTTTGACTTAAAACAACATTTCAAATGAATGGTGACGTATAAAAATTATTCCTACTTCAAAGACCGGAAAGAATCTTCGTGAGATCGTTAATTGCAGATCTCGAATCTTATGAAGTTTACAGATTCCATGGCAAAGGAAAAACTCACGCTTCTTCTCTATACTCATATCGGTTCTTGTGCCAGTTAAGATGATTGCCTTCAAGACGTCAGAACATATATTTTTCAATGTGCTATATTGTTTGCATGGATGTATTGGTTTCTACGAAAACTTTTAAAGATGCAATAGAAAACCGTACCACTAAAGCTTTTTTTTAATGAGTCAACGGCAGAGCCCTTCGCGGTAGAGCATTACTAAATTTATGACTTGCTGTGCCATATGACATAAAAAAAAATCAAAATAAAAATAAAAAAATAACTATATAGTAAATCTTATAAGGCGTTCATATTGTAATGAATGTTGGTAGCATTGTGGAGACGTTATAGGAAGATTCCCTATTTTTTCTCATGGGTGACTTCGGCATTGGTGTGGAATAAGTTTCTAAACTGTACGGGTGCTTCCGCCAAGTCTAACAACTCCTTTTAGTGTCAATGCAGAGATCGGCTAGAAGTTGTCCCTAGCTAAGTAATTAGGCGGATAGAACGTCTTTTTGATGTAGCGAATGAAACGCTTTGTTGAATTATTGATCCATAACAGTTGACTTTATTTAATTTTGGCATGGCTATTTGCACTTAAATTTTACAATTTTATTGCTAGCGTAAGCATAAAATTGTGGCAGATTAATTTAATCAGGGTGGTATTTCATTGCGAAATGCAATTCTCAGCTAGTGTGACATAATTCTTCTTTTTCTTTTTGCAAATGAATCATGCTGATTTTGCATAATTCTCTCACACTTCAAATTGGACGCATAATCACGACATGCGATCACGTTACAATATGGTGTGACTTAGCACACGAATTAAGTCCGTCTCTGAGGCCCGTTGTTTATACTGTTCGCTGGTTTTGCTTTATTCTTTGTCCGTTAGTCCGTATTTGTATACGGAGAAAAAAATTATATGTGAATCCGTACACGTCCAACGAGTAACTGAAATAACTAAAGAGTTGTTGGCTAAATATGTCATACACAACTAGAGAGATTATTCATTTAAGTTCATATTCACTATATAAACACATATCACTATATAAACAGCGGCAATGAATCTAAAAATTTTTATGTGTGCAGTTTTGTGTATACCTACATACAATCATGTGAGGATATAACATATATCTATGCATATATATATATATATATATATATGCATCCTTTTATTGTATTCGTACACTACTCAAAGCAATTAAGAATAAAATATATAGAATAATGGCTCATTCAGTGCATGTGGAACGTAGCATACATGAAATGTTTAGGGACACTTTGTCCGTGATAACGCAGTGCCTACTAGTGTAGAGGCCTCTAGTAGTCCACGAAGTAGTCCATTCGCGCCGCCCAATAGCCTGCTTGAACTTCGAATTTCACAACTTGAGAGAGTAATTAAATGAGCGAACTTCGAATTTCGCAACTCGAGAGAATAAGTTCTTAGTTTACAAAGGTTAAGACTAGCTCTGCTTACACTCAATACGTTATTTTATATCGTTATTCTTTTACTCTTAAACAATCTACTTTTAATGCTCTTTAGATTAAATTACTTATATAAAAAGAAACGAGTAGCAATTCCGCGTCCACTCTTTACCTTAGTTTTAGTTTAGGTAAATTTTTGGTATTCCTGGACTTTTATCCATAGCCGTTTCATTCGGTAGATAAAGATTTTCTGACGAAATATTGTCAGTGCCACAATCCGATGTAATATATAATCTTTTTTATATAAATGTATCAAAAATATAAATTCATCTCCCCTTGTACGTCTCCTGAATAGTTTTGTACAATTTTTATAGGCGTGGCATTCGATTTTACCCTATTTTCAAAAAAAAATGAATATTCTCTTTCCATATATATTCAAACAAATGGTTTGGTTGAAATGTAATATATAATCTTTTTTATATAAATGTATCAAAAATATAAATTCATGTCCCCTTGTACGTCTCCTGAATAGTTTTGTACAATCATCAAATAAAATGAAAAATGCAGAAAATATAGACTATTCGTTAAAAGTTAGAAATTATTAATATAAGTTATATGTATATTGTGTTATTTTATATATTTTTTTTTTAATATGATTTGAAATACTGCTATTATGTATTATATTATAGAAAATGTGAAATAAAAGATATAAACACGAATTCCTTCTTATTCCGAGCGGCACTGCACCATCAGGTTGACATTCTCCAGTACAAAATTGTCGAAAGTTTTCTGCGGTTTTTGGCACTGTATCAGCAAATAATTCAAATATCATACGACCAATTTCCTAAAAACAATGTATTTTTCCATTAAGCAACTAGTGCTTGTAATTAGAAAGGCTTACCGTAGTACCAACGGATATATCAAAAAATACGACTGGATTGTTAACATTACGAAGTTGTGATTGGATTTGATTCCAGGTAGGCATGTTTAGGCTTTAGTTGTCATTCAATATTTTATTACTAGTTACTACCTTTTCGCGGCATATTGGCAGAGTATACGTAGTTTGAAAATTTATGCGTAGGGCCTAAACACAATGAGGTTTGCGTTTTTAGGGATGGAATTCAACTTGCTTAAATTTTTACGAGGCTTGGTGGCAAGTAGGAAATCATCAAATAAAATGAAAAATGCAGAAAATATAGACTGTTCGTTAAAAGTTAGAAATTATTGATATAAGTTATATGTATGTTGTGTTATGTTATATATTTTTTTTTTAATATGATTTGAAATACTGCTATTATGTATTATTTTATAGAAAATGTGAAATAAAAGAAATAAACACGAATTCCTTCATATTTTTTATTTTCTATTTAAAAATTACTTTTTAATACGTTCGCATTGCATTGTACAGGTTGTCTTTTAGTATAATTCGCAAATAAAATGGGATATTTGTTGGAATATGTGAGGAGATATTACATATAATTGCATATACATATTTTTGCATTTTTAAAAAACGTGAACTAGCACGCGAGTAACGAGTGTTCAAAGTAATTTGTCAATTTTTTTTTAACTTTTACGTAAATTAAATGTACCAGCATAGTAATTTTTTCAAGCTATACAAATTTGCTGGATGTTGCACTTTATTTGGTTACCGGAAAAAAAAATGTACGTTTACATAGTTGTCAAAAACGTATCTAAAAAAACCGGTTCTTCTTAAAAGAATGATTGCGAAAAGAATAATACAAATATATTTACTCTCGACTTAAGTTTTCAATTTTTCTTTTCATTTCCATCAAATTAAGTTTAAGAATCGTTTTAGTCACGTAGTGTCCCACCCGTAAGTAAGAGTTGTGCGATATTTATGTCATAGGATACTTAGGCATGGGATGCTATTGCGTATTTGCGTAGCTGTTGCGTTCCTAGCGATGCGGTATACGTTAGGTGAAAAATTAAGGCAAAGATAACAAATTAACGAACACTTATTTTTATTATTATTATTTTTCTTAATTATCTCTTTCTTTCAAGAATGAAAACCATTTCCAAAGGGTTACTTAATTCGATGCATGCATATAATGATTAAATGTTGTGGCTGATGTCTTTTTTCGAAGTCTTCATTCATCTCATAATTCTACAGGTCTGCAGAATTACAGCACATTATACTTGGTAGTAAAGTTTTAGATTTAGCCCCGAATCTTCTAGCTCTTCTTTTAAGGCTCTTCATATAATGTCTAGAGATTACATTATTATTGGTACAGTTTTTAACCTTTCAACATTTTATTGCCGCTCGGTCTTATCAGCAGTATGTATTTATGTATTTTTTCTAAGTCCCTTGCCGCACTGATATATTTATTTTTTTTTTTTTTCAAATATTTGAGAAAATTAGTGTTTCACACCTTAGTATCCTTTTTGTTTATAATATTAATATTAACAACAAGTATATTTTATTTTTATCAATTAAGTGTTTAAGTGCCACTTTGGGTTAATGGTTTTTCCATTTAGATTTACTTTGTTGTCTTTTGAATTTATTCCCAACTTGGTGTGTTTTTACTCAAACCACATAAGGAAACGTATGAAAGTATTATTATTTTTAATAATTATAAATTTTTTTTATTAACAATAATACGTAGATTTTAGTTAAACAATTATTTCTAAGTGTTCATTGTGTGTTAATTGTTTTTTTCTTTCTCAGCACCACATGTATTATGCGCACAGGCTCTCAGTATCAACAACTCTTAAAAATTCTACATACTGCTGCTATGCCCGCTCTGTATGCAAAAAAATAATGTTCCGTATATGCTTTCCGATAAATTTCTTCCGCAATAGGCTCGAGCAGTTCGAATTGATGTAGCAATTCTCTCAATCAAATATGCGAAGTCGCATTCCGTCTAATTCGTAACAATATCATCCAAGACTGGAAATTCATCCTTTCATGTCCTTTAGATCTTTTTGTAGTGTTAACCTTACCGCATAGGAGAAGTGGTCAATAGATTCTTGTGTAACCGCACATATGACAAAATTTATTCAAACTCTATCGGACGAGCGTCATGTGGAATCAGTAGAGTGCCTTATTTTGATGTGCAGTAAATTCAACAAAACCAGATTCATTTGAGATATCCCGTATTTACAGTCACCTTTTTGGAATCTTTCGTGCTCGCAACAAAATTCATTCTAAACAGCTATCTGCTTTATTAAAACTGCTGACTCGTTTGAAGTTATCAAAATTATAAATAAACTCTTTGTCTTCTCTAATAGTATTTTTAAAAATCATCATGATATCAACCTTCTGGACTAAGCTCCAGAATGGGTAGTACTGAGTAGACTATTATAACTTGAATAGCTCTAATCAGGAGAGATCAACAGAAACGAATCATCAATAAGTCAACAACACTAATCACGTGATCTGCATCATCAATTTTAAGCTGTAAAGAACTTATTTTAAAAACTCATAACGGTACTGGATATATAGGCCTTGTCGTTTACAGTCTTAATCATTCGTGTTTTATATACCAAAATAAAAAAAACAAAGAAAAACAAAGTTTATTGAGCAAAAACGATTAACAGAAACCAAAAACAAAAAAATATACACATAAGCCATTATTAAAAAGCATGGTTTTGAATTTGGAAGATTTGCAGCATGTATGATATGCCTGCCGTACATTTGTATGATTGCAAAGTAAAATTAAGCGAAACCAGTGAGGAAGCCAGCTCGGAAAATCATTTCAGTCAAACGATTATATTGAATATGTATGATCTCTTGGGACTATATGGAGCGGTCCTTTCCGTGTGATGGGCCTGTTTGGAGTTAAAGTTTTATAATAAATTAATGTGTGCAAATATATAAAGAATGTTTAAGCAATGTTATACAATACATAGAAGAGGAGCAAGAATTGCAAGAATCGAAAATATATATTAGAAGAACATGGGCTTATCTCCGGAAATCGCCCACTTTTTGGATTCACGCAACAATGTCGCCTTAGTGGTAACAAAATACCATCATAAAATATTATCCACAGATATTGCATCCATATAAATTTTATTCCCAAGCGCTCAATCTAAGTGCCGACCGCTTCAAACATATATGAGAAGTAAATAAAGAAGACAAAGGTATGATATGCCACAAAACGCTTAATTCTCATTGCTACTTGAGAATTCATACCGAACGGGTGCATGGAATAAAATTAAAAGCCAAAGTGGCTTTGATTGAATTTATGACAAAAACCGCCAAGACGAGGGATGGTAATGATAGTTAATAATGGAAGTTTACCAACATCCGATGGGATTGATCTACAGGAAGATTCTTAACAACTTCTGATTTTGGCTATAATTCAGAATCAATGGACAAGAACAAGTGAGAAGTAATAGCGACAACGCTTTCACTATAAATTTTTTATCATATCTATTTCATTAGTTAATTTATTTGATAATTGAATAAAGCATACGTATAAATAATATAATAACATAATAATAATAATAATAAACAACAATTTCTCTCTTTGATACATATGACGGACGCCGGCACGGAAGACTGGAAAACACAAATTTATCAAGTACCGGTTTAGTCGCGAAAGAAAGTTGAATTCACATAGTTGGTTACACGCTGACTTTCAGATACGTGATTACCATCCTCGTCATCTTACTTTTATAAGATTTGTGAATCACACTGTAAGTTCTTGCATATCGCACAATCTCTTAGCAAATAATTTTTAATTTGGGAGCAGAATATGTGGAGGAAAGCAAATTTGTCTCACAATATGCTAAAGAAGTAAATACGTAAAGCATCCCCACATATGTACCGTTTCCGAACAAATGTGTTCTATTTTAAGTTAACGGATGGCAACTCTATATATCACATCTTTTCCTCACGAGTAGTTGTGAATTGGCACTTTATGTCAAATTCTTCAAACATTTGTGTTTTTTCATAAAATTTCCAAAAAGGGAAAAGAAGTGTTTTATTTATTGTTGCCGGAAAATTCGGAGTAATAATTTAAAAAACGGTTAAGAAACATCTGCAATTGAGTAAGTTTGGTAAAAATGGGTTAAGTTTTCCATCCACTTAAGGCAGGATTCTAAACTTTTATTTAAAAGGAAGCCTAATGGGAAGTATTGCATATGATGGAGGAAGGGTAGGCTTAGGAAGGTTAGTGTGCACCACTACCAAGTTCCTTGAAATGTAAATTTCTCTGTTTCTGTAACGCTGATGATTTCCCAATTGTTTCAATCGCAACATAATTTAGTGCAGCTGTTGAAAGCTTTTCTCCGCTAGTCAATGTTTTTATAATCCTTGAACTAAACTTATGTTTCAAATTAAAAAATTCAATTGTTTTTATCATTTCAGTTAAAAAAACTTTACATAGACATGTCTTACAAGGCGCGCGCGAACTAAATAAGTTTAACAAAAGAAAGAAATCTATGTTTAGCTGCTGATTTTATAAAATGTGCTCAGGTGTTCGAAATATCTGGTATATCTATGCTACAGTATTCCACGTTCTGTTACTTGGTTCAATATTTGTAATATATTTTCGTTCACCGGTAATAGAAGGTTTGAAACCGCAACAGTTTTTACATCGAGAAGCTCCTGCAAAGCGACTAGTATTAATAATAGCGGATGGTTTAAGGGCGCAATCGTTCTTTTACGAAAACCTGGCAAATGTGCCGAATTTGCGTCAGTTAATTAAAGAACAACAAGGTTTATTGGGAATTTCACATACGCGAGTACCAACCGAATCTCGACCCGGACATATTGCCTTAATAGCAGGTTTTTACGAAGATCCTTCTGCGGTAACGCGTGGCTGGAAAGAGAATCCTGTTGAATTTGATACAATCTTCCAGCACGCTCGTCGAACATATGCATGGGGTTCTCATGATATCTTGCGCATATTCAACAAATCGTCACAAAGGGATGTAGAAGGACGTTTAACGTTCGACGCTTATAACCATGAATTGAATTTTTGGGGCAAGGTTAAAAGTTATGAGCTAGATAATTGGGTGTTCTCACGTGTAGAGGATTTTCTGAAACGTGAACGAAAAATTTTACAAAAGGTTGATAAAGTTTACTTTTTCTTGCATTTGTTGGGCTTGGACACAGCTGGTCATATTCATAAACCGCAGACTGCTTTATATTTGGAAAATCTTTTCATAACAGAGGCTGGTATATGCAAAATTTACCGGTTATTTGAACAAATCTTTCAAGACCATAAAACAGCTTACATATTCACCTCAGACCATGGCATGACTGATTCAGGTAAATTTCTTAACATTAAGGTAAAAACCTTAATATGTTGCAAGTAACGCTTCATTATAGGATCGCACGGTGCCGCCCAACCGCACGAGACTGAAACCCCATTTTACATGTGGGGGGCTGGAATTAACTCAAGACCGTACAATACGGCAAAATATATAAAATTGGACTATAACACTGCAATGCCTTTATATGAAATTGAGCAAGCCCAAATGGCACCTTTAATGTCGGCCCTGCTTGGTTTACCGCCGCCTGTGAATAATTTGGGCATATTACCGCGATATTTCCTAAATGCAAGTGAAGAGTACATCGCACGAGCTGCTGAATGCAATGCTTATCAACTGTTAGAACAATATACGCACCTTTTGAAAAAGCACAAAGATGGAATCCTAAGTTTTCTCTTGCCCGAATACGAGGCATTGTCCTGGCCTAGTATTAATGAGATGAAGTTGCACTTGAAACAAGCGCATTTTGTGGAAGATTATCAAACCTTCACGAATATAAGTTACAATCTAATGGAAATGACACTAGAGGGTATTGGTTATTATCAGAGTTACTACAGTATGCCGCTGCTCTTAGCAACAACAGTTGCCATGCTAAGCTGGTTAAAGTATTTATTCAACTTGTTAAATTTGAAGAAAATGAATAGCTTGGAAAGTGTAGAATTCAAGAGTAAGGTTAAAAGGACAAGATTTAAATTGTTGATGATTCTTCTTCTGGCTCTTATCGGGTTCTGTATTTTGCAAAAATTGTCGTGGCAAGTGAGTTTCTACCTTTTATTACCGATTCCTGTAATGACTTTAGCTTTGAGAAACGAGACTCAAGGACCGACACCTTTAACTTTTGGGTGGACACTAATGTACTTTATATGTATCGAGATTTTAATATTTAGTTTTTTTTCCAGAAAGTTAATATCACTTGGATTTTTGCTACATGCTGCTTTATCCGAAAACAATGGCAAAACAACCACGTGGAAGTTTTATATTAAAACAATAATGATTTTAGTTTTAGCTGTATTCCCCTTGCTGACACCTTCTGTAGGTTATACTGACAATCGACTTTTTTTATTAGGTTTCCTTTTTACCATTTCAAGGTCTATATTAGTTAAATGCAAATTAACTTTAGCCGACAAATTAGCTGCTGGTATAGCGCTACTTAATTCAATCTTTTGCGTTCATAATCACGTCAATAATCAGGAACTTCCTGGTGTTTGTCAATTCCTTTCCTGGTCTTATTTCGTTTACGTTTTTGTAGCCATTTGTTTTAGACCTTTTTCTTCCAAGAAACAACTTTTAGAGCGTATTTTATTCTTAATGACAACTCTCTACAGCATGCTGTGCACTTCCTATGAATCGCATTTCATTTTATTTTTAATTACTGTAATAATTTTGTCTACTGAGCCTATGCGACTATCGCGTCCACTAATTACAGGGTGTGCAAGTAAATTTCATTTTTATGAGTGCTTTCGTCTATCTTTTGCAATAATTCTTTACACATTTTTTTCTTTCTTCGGTACCGGTAATATTGCATCTATTAGTTCCTTTGATCCAAACATAATACGTTGCTTCTTAACTACATTTTCACCGTTTGTAATTATGTTTCTTGTCATCTTAAAACTGTCCATACCGGTATTCCTAATCATTTGCATAATCTTTGCATTATCGTCATTTGCTATTGAGTATGAAGAACAGATTTTTATATGTTTGCTAATGATCTGCAATATTATGGCACTACATTTTCTCTACATGGTACGAAATCGTGGGTCGTGGTTAGAAATCGGCGCGTCAATATCACATTTTGTTATAATGCAAGTGACTACATTAATTTTGGTTATATTTACTTATGCATCTAAGATACTGTTGAGTAGATCGAAAAATTTGACGGACATTACTACACAAAATCCTACTAAAATGAATTGAAAAGTCGGGCCAGATAACTTTCTTAGAAATATCATGTGCATAATAAATATATCTTAAACAGAGTTTAAATTGGTTTGTATTAATTATTAAGTATATCCTAAAGAGATGAGCATTCAATTTAATGTTGATATCACCTATGTTGTGTTTTCTCGGTTTTCATATATGAATTTCTATGCTGCTTCTAAGTTTCTAAAGACGTTTTGTTTGATCGTCATTTCTTTAATATTATGCACGCTGTTATTAATGCACGTGTTTACACTTGCAGAAAAGCGTGAACAAACCTAAACAACTTTGTCTTTACTTGTACAAAGCGAAGGTGAAAACCAACGTTAACTCAGTCTAAGTATTAACCTTAATTTTGAAAAATTTTTAGAAAAAAATTGCGTTATTTCAGTATTATTCATTGGTCTTAAAACAATTTGCCAGACATATTCGCGTTGAAGTGTTTCAATATCCACAATTAGCTAAGGCACATTGTTGAGGCTCGTTCGGCAGTGCTAAAACAACTTCACGAGAAGAACATTTCTTAGCATGAACACTATTTTTTCTTTAAATTATTATGTAATGAAAAATTGAGAACTTTTTTTTTTTTAATTATTTCATAATGAAAAACTGTTTGCTTGGGTGTTGACCTAGCTCTCTTTAAATTTGTTTGCTTCTTCTAGTTCGCGTTGCTTCTGTTGTTGGCGGAACTCTGTTGGAGTTAATAGGCCTCTCATAATAGTATCGTAAGCGATGTTTACACCACTAGCCGACATTTTTAGGAATAGTTTCCAACATTCACGTCCTTTGTGCGATCGTACATGGTGCGGATAAGTGAAGACTTCTAAGGTTTTTGTACCAGAGCAACAGTCTGTTGCAGCTTTGTTTGGTACGGAGACAGCTACTTCAACTGCCGGCGAATCTGCAGCACTGTTATGGGAACGTTGAAAAAATATTGATACAGGTGGCGCTGTAGGTGGACGGTTAGCACGCAAACGCTCTGCCAGAGGAGCTATTGAACCACGGCGCAGCATATGCGAACATTCTTTAGATGAGAAATGAAACCTGTTAAGATTGGTTTCTTGAAAAGACACTGAAAACAAAAAATTAAAAATCAAGTTTTCCAAGTTTTTCAAGGTCTTACCGGATTTGCCAGTTTTTTTTAAAAATGGTGCCCTTCTTCCAACGATTGTCGAAGAATCTTCTTTTTCCGAATCTGAATTTTCAGGGCTGATTAATGAGACCAGTGTTATAACTTCAGATGTCAATGATTGTGCTCGTGCTAACACTCTTTTGTTCTTGGTGCTGGATTTTTGAATCTTTGTGACAAGAATGCTTTCCTCTGCTTTGGCTTCATGCATCTGGTTAGCCGTACGTCTGCGCGATTTACGCTTGTTTGCCAAAAGTCTACCGTTAGAATTGTCGTGCATGTAGCGTACTGGTGCAGACGTAGCGCGCAGTAAGGGCGGCCGCGTGGTTAATGAGGGAGGGGCATTCAAAACATTAGAGGCGCTGACACTTGAAGAAGCATTGTTAGGGCTAATTAGATTTAATCGACTACTATGGTAAAAAACTTTGCGTGAAGGAAACAAATTTGGGTTTATTTCCGAAGAGATATAGGTTAAAGTACCTTCTGTTTTACACGTCTTTGCGTTGTATATATTTTCCTTTTTATAAACGAAAATAATTATTCTATTTACACCTATTTATTTTTAAACACCTACCATTTTTTTTTTTTCATTTTCTACTTGAACAGCACCAGCTTCATCATTATCTTCTGCATCTGAGCTAAGGTAATCATCCTCCGTGCTCACTGGGAAGTCTTGAGATAAAACTATGCTCAGATTTACTTTGTTCGCATCGGGTTTTGAATGTTTTTTTACGGAAGTACCACTTTGAGGCAGGGCTTTATCGAATTTTTTAACAAATCTATGAAAATAAGTCAGTTGATTTACTTTCTTATTTACGCTCACTTTTTTGTATTATCTTTGATCTGCTCTTTTCCCCTCTACACAACTTTCTTTTTTAGAAGCTACCACAACATGAGCGCAATGAATGCATGACAGTTTCAGTAACATTGACAATGATGGTTCCAACAAAAATTAATTCTTTTCATGCAAACCACATTGCTTTATCATTACAAAGAAGGGTGTTAAAGGGTGTTTGATATATATTTATCTCGCATAATAAGCTGTTAAGCGTTATAACGTATTTTATAATACAATATTAACATTTTAGAATAATTCCATTCAATAATTTGTGAAATACTTCTAAGTTAAGCAATTTAAAATTCGCCAGCGAAATTTTATTATTTACTAACTTACGCCCGCACACATGCCGCATGTTGTATTTTGGAGTGGTGTTGACGAAGACGTGCTATAAGACTTTGTAGACAAAGTTGTGAACCTCATACTTTTAAAATTGAGTGTCAATGCTCTGTCAATAAAATAACTGCAATTTTTTAGTTAACTGTTTCTGTAACTTGAAAATAGTTTGCTCCTTCCTATAAAACACGGCTTAAGCCCCCGACAGATTTTATAAAACTGACTTTGTTTCCTTACATTTTTTTTTTAAGGCAACAATCGTTCTGAGGAGAGACTTACATTTTTAAGCATGTGCACAAGCATATTTGTTATGACCGTTATTTGGTACGAATCTACCACAATTAATTCGGACACTGTCATAATTTTCTCAATTGATTTTCCTAGAGTTGAAAATAAACTAGATAATCATATTAGACTTGTGAAACACTCAAAACCACGGTATATTCTAAAGTATTTGGAAAGGAAAGCTATTAGCCACGTAAGATCGCTAATAGTCAGATACATATAGATAACTTTAACATATATTTGCAATGTGTACCCCGTATGAACGTACTTCATAGATAAAAATTGGAAGCATTTAAACCAACTATTATAGCATATCTGTCCTTGCAAGAAACATGTTCAGGCGCTTCTTTATGGGCGATATTTCCAATTCTTTTTATGGAAAACTTAATTTAACTCATTGCTTACTCTTTTCTTGTTCCCGCTTTCTCAACTTCCAAATATGCTGCAGAAGATGGTGTCGTGCTTTTCGAACTGCAAGATTGCCTTAGATCACTATTAACGTTAGACAATTTTTTATTTATAGTTTTTGTTAACGATGTTGTTAAAGAAGAGCAAGTTTGTGATCTTTGATACAATTTCTCTTCATGTGTTGGTTTGTGTAAGCAACAGCTTGATTGGGAAGAAAGCTGATTTTTGTTTTCACTAATCAAAGGTTTGGATTTCCTTATCGATTGCGACCGATTCAAAGAAAGACCTCTGGATAAATAAGTAGAGTCTGTAAAATGCCTATAAGGTATCGAAGCTTTGCCTGTGCTTAACACCTTCGTTTGAACAAAGGAAGGTTGTCTATACATCGTCTGCAAATTTTGATGGGAATAATTATGAGGCTGGGCCATGGCGTAATGTTGCGTTGAAAAAGACCGACGTTCCGATATCTGTGTAGGGCGGCTTGTATTGAACACAAAAGCCTTTTATTTGGTGTTTGATTATACTTGCACTTGAAAGTTTTGTTTTATTTTAAATTTTGGGATTTTTATTCGTGTTTCCCGTAGCGTCTATAAAAGAATTGTAAGTCGGTTCTCCGAAACTACAGTTTTGTTAGATTGATGTTTGGTTTATTTATAACAGAAAATTGTCACGTTATTTTAAGAGTTTACGTGTCGCGCGAGCTACGGGTTTTTTGGGAATGAATAGGAAATATGTGCTAAGCAAAAAAGTTGCTTGTGCACGTCTACTATTTTGCATATCACAGTCCATACAGAAGCATAACACAAGCTCGTTTATACATTTCTATGAATTGAAAGTGATTGCACGTATTTCATGACAAAAATCATATTAGCGAACAACAATAATAGCAAAAAGAAAAAAGGGACGTTGCTAAACAATAACACGAATATGCAGTTCATAAAACTAATCCATTAGGTCGCTGTGCATTATGTAACATGAAACAAAGGTAGATTCATTTTCTCAGCAATTATAAACCACCTCTATTTACACCTTATACCATTTTGTGATGCAAGAATATTTGCAGTTTTTGAGAATGTATGTAATGCTAGGAAGCACTTGAAATAGACTCTCCCTCTTTTATATCGATTGGATTAATCTAAGCTTTATATGCCCGTCTGTCGACCTATAAGTCGCAAGTTTTGGGTTATTTTGAAAAAAACGATAGAAGCTATTGAAAATGAACCACCTTTTCTACCACTTCCCATATTAAACCTTATTTTGAAGAGTCGTTATATAAATAAACGTGTTAAGCCAAGTGGTAGGGTACTTTACGGCGGACTGTGTCCTAACACAGTGTTTTTAACTTCTTTTTTGTAAAATTTTGTAAGTATAAAAAAAAATAAATTGTGATTTATTTCATATTTTTATTTCTATGATGTAATGAATATAAAAATAGAGAACATGATATTATTCAAAGACGTCTCATCAGTCTTCTGAGAATAATTGTTAAAATCGATTACAGCTTTCTAATCAATATTATTTCGTGGTTTACACGTGGATTATTTTAGTTGTTCATTTGAATCGAGATTCGGTTCGAACATTTCTTCAATTAAAACGTTCTCTTCCTCGACTTACGTGACCACATTTTGAAAGTTTTAAATTTGATGTGTAAATGTACTTCATTTACACACATAATACAACTCCATTGTTACATTTTTCATATACATACTGATAACAAGATCTTCTCTTCAAGTGAAGTGAATAATGTTGGCGTTTTCTTATCTTTTGAAGCATACATATCCATAATCAAGATTTTTAAAATCGCATCAATCTAACGGCTTACGTTCGGAGATTGTCATAGGATATTTATAAATACCTTAACTTAATTTCGAAAAATTGGGAATTTCGAAAAATTTTCGATAGTTAACTCATTTTTTATATCTTTGCCGATCTCATGAAGATTTCCCCGAAAAAATGTGGGCCAGATGTTCGTCAGGACCCAAAATCGTTGCCAATTCGCGATAGAATTTCAATTATATAAGAATAGGTATATGTAAAACGTTGGCAGTTCTTGTTTTAAAATAGCAAGAAAATGTCGTTACTTTCTTGGCTCCATTATAATTACTGCGATTAGCAAAGGGATCAAAATCTACCGTAGTTGCGGCGTTCAATATGTAATAAAAGGAGCGCAAACTAATATTTCGGCTGATAATGATATTAAATTATTTGAATAAATCGTTAATATTTAATCAAATTTTTAGAAACTTTACGAGAAATGTACAAACGTGTTTGCATACGTTCACCGGTCGATGCCTTTCGCACACACAAGCGGAGGTCGATGAGAATATTAACATATATGGAGTTAGAGCATACACATTTATTTTTTATATGTTTGCAAAACATTGAATGCGATAAAACGGATGTAAAAAAAAAACTAAAAGCAGACTCAGGCGAGACCTACCGTTATACACCGTACTTTGCCTCGTATTCATTCACATCACATGCCTTGATGCAAACTTTACGATGTTAATTTACTTTCTAAAAATTGTATTATTTTTAAGTTTTTTATTATTTTCAGTAGAAATTCGATTTTTCCCAACAATTTCTATATATGTGAAGTCCCCAAGGTGAACCGAATTCCCTGCCGTTAATTTTTTTGCTAAATTGCTACTACTACTATGTACCATAAAATATTAAAAATTAAATATCTTTCTGCAGCTTCGCTAGGCATAATAATAGGTGGGTATGTCACCAGCTCTTCTCCTTTGGGTCTGCGCAGACTTACATACTGTCTACCACAAAGGGGCGTAGGATATGAAAAAATGTGCTGCCAAAAATTCGAAATTGCTATGTAGTTGTAAGCTAACAAAGGGAAAATTCGTTAACACTGCTTCACCGACCGTGCGTGATCTGTTTTCAATGTTTCCAATTTATTTCGAATTCTACTGTAAGTGCCTCTCCCTCCCCCTTCTCTACATACAAGTGCAATATTATCCTGCCTCCCTGCCCGTCTGTGCGTAGCTGATATAAGAATATTATAAAGCAAGTATTCGTTTTCATCGAAATTAAATTTAATTGAATCAGAATTTTCTAAAAATTCGTTTCAAATTTCCAGAAATTTATTATGCTACGATATGTTGTATTAGGTACTATTATGCTATTATTAATTTTTAATAAGGTTAGGTATTATTGTGCTATTATTAATTTTTAATAAGCTCAAGGTTACTGAAGTACTTTCGTGGCGGTAGGCTATGGAAACATTCTCATTACATAGTCAGTATTTACCAAATGCAAATTTTCTTTCTATTCAATAGAATGAGATTAAATTTTGGTATCGACGTTGCCTTTAATGCCCTTAAGAAATTCAATGGCATTCCCCTGCAGCTTTTTTTTTTTTTATTTCAAGCAATGTTTTCATTTCGTGTATACTAACCATAAAATATTTTGATAAATTTTATATGTTTGACAAACGTTCGAGAATTCTCAAAAAAAGAAGAAGATCTGAATTTCTGCGGTTTCTAAACTTTTACATTCCACTAATCCTAACTCCTAGTTTAGGAGTAAGAATTGTTATATCTATATATGTGAAAAAATTAAAACCTATTTATGCGAAGTTTGTGATATTAAATACAATGAGTTCTTCACTGTCTAGATTGATGAAGCATTTGAAATAGAAAATTTTCCATAATTAATATGTTAGCTCTAGCAAATGGTAGCAAAATAAAGCATTGATTTGTTAAATCAAATGAACTCAAAAAAAAATTACTTCGATTTTTTTTTTTATATTCATTCATCACACATAGGACTCTTAAGTAAGATTAGAAGTAAGTATAATGAGAGCACATAGAACTCTTAAGTAAGATGAGAGGTAAATATATGATAAATATGTATTTAGTGAGAGCAAAAAGACTAGAAAATATCTATCTGTACTTCGCCAATTCCGATTTTTCGAAGCTGAAGTATAAAGTGTATAGGATCTTTGGGTCTACGTTTTCTATTTTTGAATTACCCAATCTTCTTCTTCTTACTTTTCTGGCAACAACAGAACGTTGATCACCTTAAGGAACATTTTATATGTTTTGGTGTAAATATCTGCGCCACCAAGGTACTTAGTTCTGCTTTTCAGTTCGCTCTTTATTACGGTTTCATGACATTAAGGCGTTCTTCAAGGACTTATGGACTTCAGTATGGCCTTCGGGACAGCGTATAATCTACCTTCTCTGTTATACTGTAATCTACTTTATTCAGTAAAGTCCTTCAAGCTCCAATTTTTGAAACTGCATTCGTTCGCAACAGATTACTTTATTCGTAACCATGAATTCAAGAATCTTGATCCGCTCCTCGATCTTGGTACTTCATTTGATTATAAACTTGGCTTCAGTTTGCATATTGAAGAGCCTATGATAGGTTTGCCCTCGACTTTATTAAACACCGACGTACCATTTGTAACATGGGGCTATGTATAATAATCTGTTAGAAATTTAATCCTGTGCTGTAGGATCTGTTTATTTCACGCAAGAGAAAAAGAAAACCCGTTCGAGAGGAGTCAAAACCAAGAAAAGTGGCCATAAATGTCTCTTTCAGAGTTCTGTTTGTAAAAAAACAACCGTAACGGAAAAATAGAAACAGCTATTGGAAAATGAATTATTAATCCAAAAATTTAAAAAAATTAAAGTGCTTCCGAAATTAAATTTGCGAATTGTGAAGAAAAAGAAATAGACAATTTCCTCTTTAAATATCGACCTAAATTAAGGAATGTTAAACAATGTGTACATTTTCAGCACAATGTATTGTGACTTCCTTCTAAGCTCATTAATGGGGAGGAGAACCATGACAACTGTGGATGGTTGTGTTGATGGAATGCATACATGCTATTCAAAGCCAGCGAAAATTGAAGAAATTTTTATTAATACAAAAGGAAACATGGCTTACTGGGGGTGGTAGTAAGTAGTCTGAATTTTAGTGCACTAGTAACTTATTGTTATTTATATAAAATCAAACACTTTTCTAGCTTTTTAAGACCTTGAAATGAAAATCAGGACAGTCTATTTCGAATCTTCTCATTATTGGCATTTGTGGAACGGCCTAGCTTCTGCGCGGTAGAGCGTTACGAAATTTAGAATATGGCGTGCCGCATGACAAAAAAAATTGGAATTAAAATAAGGTAAAAAAGAAGATTCTAGCGAAACCGTTAAGGAACTCCTTCACGGTGGTGTGCCCACGAGCCAAGACCGTCTGCGAGGCCCGTTGTCTGTCCGCTTTTCGTTACCCTAACCTGCACGCACACCCACCCATATTCCGTTTTGGCGATAGGGCATCGGGATACAACGTCAAGGATATGCTACTCCTACGTACAATTTTCATAATTTTAGTTTGATTTTATTTAATTAAATATTGTAACTAAATATATGTATGTGTTCAATTGTTAAATAAAAATATCCAAATATCCTTTTTTTAAATCATGTTAATAAAAATAGTATATTTAATATTTATTTATTTATTTATTTTTGCCTTTTGGTTTATATTAAATTTAAAAAAGAATACTTACGTTGACGCTGCACTAAACATACCATTGGTAATAAGCGAGAGTTTTTCTCGCGATTTTCTTCTAAAGGTATGGATATTTCCGCTCGTCGTCCAGCTTTCCATGTCCGATAATAAGGCGTTCACCTGTTTGAGGACTAGAAGTAATGGATGGTGAACTATTTTTGCTTTTCTCGTTCTATGTAATTTTAATTATTAGTAATTATTGGAATATCTTGAACGGAATGCGTGCGAAAGCAAAAAAATTAAGAAATAAATAAAACAAAAAATATATTTATGTAAAGAACAAAAAACTTATGGAAGTTTTGTAACAAGAATTGGTGAACTTTTTACCGACATAGCATTTGAAAAATAACATACGTGAAGAAGAAAATTGTTATTATTATTATTATTATTACTATAATTTTAGAATAATGAAATAAGT